TCCTGAGCCATCTGCATCCATCGACTTCCCGCACATTTGGACAGGTCGTCACTCCATCTAGCGGGAGGGTCGTTCTACAGAAATTAATACGAGTATTTAAATTTATTTTATCAATGGAATGATTTCGAGTGAGATTTGCTTGGCTAAAAATTCAACGAAAAACAAGGTAAATGATAAGTGTGAAGATAAGCCGTATATCTCAGTGACTAGAGAGTCGGCTCGCATCCTTGAGAACGCGGGTTAGAATCCTTGCAAAGGCGAAAAACTTTTTTACCATTTTTCTACAAATTTTCAATGTCATCTTAAGGGAAGAGAATAGCTGTACTATACAAATAGCTATAATTAAATAAAATAATCAGTTTTTGGGCATTGTTAGGCCATACCCACATACAAGATCATCTCATTTACTTAATTGTATTATCTTGACGTCTTGTCTTATTTTAATAAAAAAAAACTATATTCAGCAGCAGAGCAGTTTTGAGATAAATAATTGTTAAAAACTATACCAGCGTTGAGAATAGAAAATAATGATCTAGCGAACTTTTAGCATTTGCACTTAAAATAGCACCCATGTGAATAATTGTGCGGGTTCAGAGAGCTCTTTTTTCATTTGACTATACCAAACGAAAAATTAGTTCTGTAACAAGTTTTGAACACTCGTAATTAATAAACGTTACCAAAGTACCATAAGAACTTTTATTAAAATTGAATCTAAGTTAAATGTACATTTTTAATAAACTTTTGTTAATGATATGTTAATGAATGTGCGGGCTTGTGTGTATATAACAGTTTATATGTTAATTTTACTTTAAGCGCTAGTCTTTTTACCCAAAATAAAACACTAGCAAAAAGCTGCGCTTTGTGAGGGCTCGCGTAGTTTTTCTAACGGGTAATAATTTTTAAAACAGTTTTTTTTTTTAAATTATTATTTTTGACTTAAGCTTCGTTAAATAATTCATACGAGCAATATTTTTTTTTTATCAAACATTATTTAGTACTTACGTCAACTCTGTGACATTAGGTTTCTCATACGGATTTCTTTCTGCTTCCTACATTTTAACAAACTTATGTGAATTTTTAATATTATTTAATCTATCAAAGGGAAATCGTCTATATCATGCTAATCTTTCAAGTGTTTTCACTCTTCGAAATGCGACGTATTCAAGCCCAATAAATGTTTCCTTCTCCCCAATATCTATAACAGCTTTATCTAATGTTAAGCATTGTGACTTGTGAACTGTAATAGCGAAAGCTAATTGCAATATTAATTGTTTTCTGGAACAATTGGAAAATAAAATTATCATTTTCTTGATGAAAATCGATGTTTTAGCAGGTGTACCACCGACTAAACCTTCTTGGAGGCGTGCTCACGCCCAGTACCGAGGGACACCGGTGCGTTCCGTAGGAGATCCCGGAGTCCCTCCAAATGTACACAAGGTGGCCACCGAGGGGGTTTTAGTGGGTAAGAACCCCACATAACCCTATCACATATTGACAGGGTATCTTACGAAGATTTTAAATTTTCGTCTCGATACCAAAACGATTTGGCACACTTACGCGACCCTGCCAGCGCTGGCTTCCTTAGCATTCTCGGGGAAGAACTCACATCCAGGTAATGCGCGGTTCAGCGCGACTTACACCACAACGGCCCAGTGTGAGATCCACTTGGCTTCGCGCTGGGTGACCAAGCCCCTCCACCACGGCAAGGCGGGAAATCGGTCCAATGGGGTTTAAATTGATATACTGTAATAACCTGGTGAATTTGAGCAATTATTTGCTCTTCAATAAATGTTAACTTTGGTAAATCATCAGTTTGCGCTCCAGGATCGGAAAAATATTTCATACAGATCGAATTTTCGATAGAAAATAGGTTCAACTCATTTTTTATTTGGAATTTGTGACAGAGAGTGTAAAGTCCATTGTTATCAATATTTAAATCAAACCAACGACGATGACATAAACTGCACTGTTGCACTGTTTTAATTCCAATTATTTCTGGGCAGTTTCAAAATTATTACTTTACAACCTGATTATATTCGTGTCATTCCAGTATTAAGTACATTAACTACGATGTATTTGAGTATTAAGTTACTGTTAAGTTATTGGTGTTCCAACAGATGGCGTTAGTAGTATAATAACAATCTGTGCACAACAATGCTCAGGTTGTGGGATAGTGTTAGGTCTCGCTTCGCTCGCCCTAAGAATAAAATGAGATTTTTTACAGATAATTAATTGAAAGGTTTTTGTAATCCCGCGTCCGCTGGCAATAGACAGTCAGACACCAACCGTTACCTTTCGACTCTATAACTGATCTAATTCCTAAACGACTTATATGCTAGACTTGACAAGAACTATCTATATTTTTTTTAAATTTGAAATATGTTTTGTCTATTAATGAACTTTTGTCTATAGGCGCTGCGGTATTCAAACTTTCGACTTCTGGTCTCGCCCAGAATATAAATTACATATAAATAAAAACAAATTGTGAACGTTAAATTGAAAAATAAATTTTAAATGTAAACCAAGAGGTGTTTAAGATTGATTAAGGAACAAAATACATACAAGTCAATTTAAGTATGATTTTACAGGTCCTTAAATTTATAGAGAATCTCGTATGAATGATTTTAATACTTATTCCCACTACTTCATCATCATCATCATTTCAGCCTGTTTGAGTCCACTGCTGAACATAGGCCTCCCCCACAGACTGCCATGAAGTACTATCCAGAACCACCTGCATCCATTGACTTCCCGCACATTTGCACAGGTTGTCACTCCATCTAGTGGGGGGTCGTCCCATACTGCGATGGCCAGTACGAGGCTGCCACTCGAGAACCTTTCTTCCCCAACGGTTATCGGTTCTACGAGCTATATGGCCGGCCCATCGCCACTTCAGCTTGCTAATCCTCTGAGCAATGTCGGTTATCTTGGTTCTACTGCGGATGTCTTCGTTACGAACTCTATCACGCAGAGAAATACCGAGCATAGCCCGCTCCATAGCTCGCTGAGCGACTTTGAGCTTCCTCATACGGCCCACTACTTGATGGTACGAAAAATGGAATACTTTGTTAATAAGACAATAACGAAGCTTACCATGTTTTATAGTAACTTTAAGTTTCTAATATTTAAGCTACTAATAGTCACGGGCCAGGCTGAGTTGTTTGACGTGCTGATATCAGTGTAAACCCTAGCTAATTTCAACTGGAATATTATTTCATATTAGTTGAAACTAGTTTACGGGTTTTATCGAGTTTTAATTGTGATTTTATGATTCACGACCTTTCGAACCAGCGTTTACGGTCACGGAACAAGAACCCGTAAACTTGTTTATTTTAATATGTGTAATATTCCCGTAAAATCAAGAAATCTATATGAGATATTATTAATTTTATTCCAATACAACCAACTAAATGTATCTTGATGCTGTATCATGGTTGTGCGTTTAGGTCTCGAGTAAATTTTATTGATAGTATTAAGCTAGAACATATTCCCTATTAAAAATTGTATATTTTTAAATTAATAGCCTCCTTAACCATAAAATAAAATCCGGTAAAAGACTCATCTTACACAGATAACATCAGCAGGTACAGGTACTCGCTCAACAACGGGTGATTTCACTCAGTCACTGTGTTGTTTTTTGTTCAGAGTTTGGTTTAAAAAGTTAAAGTCGATTACAAATTATAAATACACCAAGAAAACAAAAAGTTACCTTCCTATAAATCCAGGATTTATATTTAGAAAGTTATTTAGGCATGAATGTTATTATATTCTTGAAATGCGTCTAATATTAAAGATGGTGACATAGTAAGTGTCACTACAAACCTAATAAAAAAAAAACAGAAACCCTTAACATTCACGTTTCGTTTTCACGTAAACACAAGAATGTGAAGGATCATTGTTATTTTTGAATTAGGAAACTGTTTGCAAGTTAGACTGTTAATTTTATTCAACCACTTGTTTTGCTAAAGCCATAAAGGAAGTATAGTCAGCAGAGCAAGTCAGTAGAATTGGATTCCCAAATACTTACGTAAATAAAAGAAAAGTATTTGGATTATACAACAGCCTTTGTGCTTATACAAGACTGCCTTTGAGATAAAAACTCTCCCAAAAAGTAAAATAATGCTTGTAGCATATTGCTTAAGCTTTTGAAAGTAGACTTATTCATGTCCAGAATTTTTTTCGATAAATAAGGAACTTAAAAAAAATCTATACTGAAATAAATATGAATAGATGGAACGTTATTAGATAAAAAATATATTAAAGAATAAAATGTACCTACAACTATAGATCATGCTTTTTATAAGAGACTGCCAAGTACTTTATAAATATAAACTTTGAGCGGTTGCTTAAAGTTTATATTTGCGGTGTAATATCGATTTATTATTTACTAGTGACCCGCCCCGGCTTAGCACGCGTGCAGTGTATTATTATACATTTAAACCTTCCTCTTGAATCACTCTATCTAATAAAAAAAACCGCATCCAGATCCGTTGCGTAGTTTTAAAGATCTAAGCATACATAGGGACAGACAGCGGGACGACTTTATCTTACACTATGTAGTGATGTAAATAAATAATAGTAGTAAAGATTAACACCGATTTCGATTATAATTTAGCTCTGTCCCAGAGGTCACGTGTAGATCAAAATCCAAGTTACTCCTACAGACGCGAGCAACATCGTTCCCCAAAACTCTTTTAAATTTATAAAAACAATATATGACACTACTATCTCTTTATGTTCAAATGAATAATGAAAATAAGAGTCACCATATCATCGCCACAGACACCATCCCGTGATTCTTCAAAGAAAAACAAAACAAAAATTATATTAAGATTGTGTTATTTATTATAAACAACGAGTACTACACCACTCGTCAGTGGTTGCTTCGGTAGTCTCGTTTGCATAAAATGTAAATTTCACTAATACAATGAATTCATCAGTTTGGACCGAGGCGTATTATATTAATAACAAGAATTACCATTAACTGACATTTTCATTGTATGGAATGTATGTTGTTTTTTTTGTTTTGACCTTAACTGCCTTATTTACTTTGTAATTACACTTTTACGGACTAATTTATTTGGTGAATTTCGGATGGATGGTGGTGACATTCTATTGTGCTTACAGCGCGAAACAACTCTATTTTATACCAAAGGGAAATTACTTGTTTAATAGCTGTGGGTCCTAAATACAGATAGCTGGGTAACCAAGCTATGAGGTGCTGTTATATATATATATATATATATATATATATATATAATTTGTTATATCTATATATAAATGTGTATGTTGCCAGGAAGCAGGCCACAGACATTTAAGGGAGACAATGCCACTCTATTATATTATTTTTCGTGTGATTTTTCAACATAACTAGTTCTAGTAGCCAGTTAACCCACTAGTATGCGGAATTGAACATAATCAAACATGAATTAAACATCCATCGGAATGACTGGAGAAATGAATGGAGTGATTAAATTGTGCTGTTTTCTCCTTTAGTTTCATGATACCTTCACATTGTTTGTCATGTTGCGTTTTCAATTATGTAATGCAGATACTTATTATACCAGTGTTCTATCTAATTCTTATATAATTTATAAGTAGGGACCACGTTTTAATTGGGTGGCAACGCATCTGCTCCCGTCACGTGTCGAAGATGTCCATTGGCGGTGGCTGTCACGTAGCATCGTATGAATCGCCTGCTCGTTTGCCATCTTCTCTCATAAATCACAACATATTAAATACATTTTGTTCGAAGGACGAATTTTTATCTTTACGAAAATATTGATTTCATCATAACCGATGTGTATCAACAATTACACTGTACGAAATAACTCGATGTCAAATTATCCCGATAACGTTTGCGCCATCACAAGAGGATGAAATAGCAAATTTTACTATTATCAATATAACTGTTAACAAAATATTATGATTCCTTATATGATTATGATTCCATCGTAGTGTAATGGAAGTTCGTTTATTATTATTTTGTGTTATGTATTTGATTTTTAAAGAAAACGAATAGTTTCATGATCGATTTGGAACATAAAAGTGAAATGAAAAATATTGTGATATCTTCATTTAATGTAGAGTTATAAGCATATCGTGTTCAGTGTGTTGCGTGTTAACAACACACGCAACACACGCGCATAACAAATTTATCGTTAACACAATAAGCAACTCAGACGGGTTCGCGACTTTCAGCTAGTTTTCTACGTATGCCAAAATAAAACTATTCTTAAAATTATAAGGATCTGTCCACTCTTAAGGGTGTAAGCACAAATAAGTTGTTTGTCATTGTTTTAATAATTTTCATTATTCTCCACATGATTTGTTTAATTTAATAATAGTCTTGAATACTATTCCCATACACACGGACGAGGCGAGTCAGGAAGCATTACGTAAGAAGTGTTTTAATTGTTTGGTACGCAGTCATCGACGCCTTGTGATCGAAGTCGAACGTAAACATTTCAATTCCGCTCCGAGTTGTTATTATTTAAATTATATTTTTTAGTTTTAAAGCCACATATACCGTGTTGTATAATTTAGGTTTCTTTTGAAAAGAGTTTTTTTTTTGTCGGCTACAATGCTAAAATCAGCACGAATTTTAAGTAACGTCTACAAACAAACTTGTGCAGGTATAAGTGCTGGAGTGAGGTGGAACCATATATGGACAAATGAGAATGTAGTTAAATCACCGTTTAGAGATATCGAAATACCGAATGCAACATACGCGGAATATGTGTGGAAGAATTTGGATAAGTGGGCCACCAAGACTGCTACGGTAAATAATTGAGTTACTATTATATACATCATGGGATTATAATTTATATTTATTAGAAACCTCTTACACGTTAAAATTGATAATTTAAATAAAATATAATTGCTTAGATTAAATTTATACATATAAATTTTATGAACTTGTTTTTGTGAACTATGGCACCTGTAGAATGATAAAAGTGTCACTGGCTTCAATTTATAATATATTCAAAAATTCAAAGTAGGTATATCAATGTACAAAACTTTGCCGTCAAATCTGAACTATTTTGCCATCATATTATGATCTTGGTCAAATTTGTATCTATTATGTTTCTAAGGAATTAAGAAATTATGGAAGGTCAACAATACATGGGAATAAAACAATTGAATATAAATAGTCATACACTGCGGCTTCGTCGGAATTAATTTGTTGGCATTTATTGTGGATATTATGAGAGAATTACCTTTGAAGGTGAAAGAAAAAGATGTCTAATAATTATGTCGGAAAGTGTAAGATGGAATAAAAACCGCAAATACCGCTCTCAACTCCCATTGCTCGAGGTAAACGTAGCAGGCTCACTTCGGCAACCCCTTCCACGCTCTCCGTAGATTTGTGCAACATCAGGGGACTTCTCTCCAACCTTAATGCCGTCCACTACCACCTAGAGACGGCAAAGCCGGCCTTGCTATTCCTTACTGAGACTCAGATATCTTCTCCGGCTGATACCTCTTTCCTCTCCTACCCCGGGTACAAATTGGAACATTCCTTTGTACCGCGGGCGGGGGTGTGCGTGTACGTCAGAGAGGATATCTGTTCTCGTCGTCTCGGCAGTCTTGGAGGACGGGACCTATTCATCCTCTGGCTACGCGTAGACTGCGACGACCATCCGCGTATCTACGCGTGCCTATATAGGTCCCATAGCGGTAATGCCGAAACTGACCAACTCATTGAGCACATCCAAATGGCTACAGACTCCGTGCTGCAGCACATCCCATCCGCAGAGATCGTGATTCTAGGCGACTTTAACGCCCATCACGCCGAATGGCTCAGTTCACGCACCACCGATCATGCGGGGAGATCTGTTCACAACTTCGCAATAGCTTATGATCTGACACAACTGGTCACCTCGCCAACGCGAGTCCCAGATGTGGAGGATCATACACCTTCCCTGTTGGACCTTCTGCTGACCTCGCATCCGGACGGCTACCTGGTTTCCGTCGATCCTCCTCTTGGTTCGTCGGACCACTGTCTTGTCAGGAGTACAGTGCCCGTTGCGCGCTCTACACGGCCTCGCTTCGCAGGCTGCCGCCGCGTATGGCACTATAGGTCAGCAGATTGGGACGGGATGCGGTCATTCTTTGCGTCCTACCCATGGGGGCAGATTTGCTTCTCGTTGGATGATCCAGACGCCGTTGCTGACTCTGTCACCGATGTGGTGCTTCAGGGTATGGAAATGTTTATTCCATTTTCTGCAATACCCATCGGTGGCAAATCATAGCCTTGGTTTGGTCGTTCCTGCAAGACGGCATTACGCCGAAAGTGGGAATGCTACCGAGCCTGGGCTGAAGCTTCGGCGTCTAGTGATGTAAAGACCAGCGCATTAAAAAAGGAGTATAACTCTGCTTCTAGGTCCTTCAAAAGCATTATTGCTAAAGCGAAGTTGGAGCACATTAGCAGAATCGGCGAGAGATTGGCGCGTCTCCCATCGGGAACACGTGCGTTTTGGTCTCTCGCCAAAGCTGTCTTAGGGAATTTCTGTAAGCCATCTTTTCCACCCCTGCACACGGAGGATGATTCGTTGGCCCATGCCGCGAAGGAGAAAGCCGATCTTCTGGGCTCTCTCTTTGCGTCCAACTCGACTTTGGATGACCGAGGAAACTCATCACCATCAATCCCTGGGGGATGCGACGTTACGATGCCGGAGGTAAAATTCCGGCAAAGTGCAGTTCGCAAAGCACTTCTTTCCTTGGACATTCACAAGTCGAGTGGGCCTGATGGCATCCCTCCGATCGTGTTACAGACATGTGCTCCAGAGTTGGCGCCGGTTTTAACGCATCTCTTCCGGCACTCCTATACTTTAGGCGTAGTCCCGAAATGATGGAAGGCCGCGATAGTGCACCCGATCCCTAAAAAAGGCAACCGCTCTGATCCGTCCAATTACAGGCCAATAGCCATCACCTCCTTGTTCTCCAAGATAATGGAGTCTGTTATCAACGGCCAGCTCCTGCGGTACCTAGAGGAGCACCGGCTGATTAGCGACCGCCAGTATGGATTTCGTAGGGGTCGCTCAGCCGGTGATCTTCTGGTCTACCTTACACATCGATGGGCAGAAGCAGTTGAGAGCAAGGGGGAGGCGCTTGCAGCCAGTCTGGACATAGCGAAGGCCTTTGATCGGGTATGGCACAAAGCGCTTCTTTCGAAGCTGCCTTCCTAAGGGCTTCCCGAGAAATTATGCAATTGGATCACCAACTTTTTGGCAGATCGGAGCATCAAGGTCGTCGTCGACGAAGGCTGCGTACTGTCTCCTACTCTGTTTCTTCTGCATATCAATGACATGTTGCAAATCAGCAACATCCATTGTTATGCAGACGATAGCACTGTGGATGTCTCGTACACTGGCCGAGCTAACATTTCTCGGGAAAACGTCTACGAGTGTCGGAACAAGCTTGTGTCTGAGGTCGAGACTTTGTTAACCAAAGTCTCAGACTGGGGTCGACTAAACCTAGTCCAATTCAACCCCAAAAAGACACAAGTTTGCGCGTTAACCGCTAAAAAGTCCCCATTTGTCATGACTCCTCATTGCGAGAACACTCCCCTACCTGCCACAGCTAGTATCGGAATGCTTGGCGTCGAAATCTCGAGCGACGTCCAGTTCCGCGGTCAATTGGAAGGTAAGGCCAAATTGGCCTCAAAGAAGCTTGGCGTGCTCAGCAAGGCGAGACGGTACTTTACGGCTGCCCAACGCCTAAACCTGTATAAGGCGCAAATTCGGCCCCACATGGAGTACTGTTCTCACCTCTGGGCGGGAGCCCCCTATTACCAGCTTCTTCCATTTGACCGCATTCAACGTAGGGCGGCTAGGGTTATCGACGATCAAAGTCTTTGTCTTAGGATTGATCCCGGCGGCTGAATTCCACCATCGGACATCGCGCCAGAACCAAAAATTTCATCCTCACCACCTCGATGTCCAACGTTCCACAACAGCGTGATTTTTAAGGCATTTCTTGCCTCGCACAACCACTCTGTGGAACCAACTGCCGCCGGCGGTCTTTCCGAACCGTTACGACCTGGGAACCTTCAAAAAGAGAGCGTACTTTTTCTTAAAAGGCCGGCAACGCATTTGTCAGCCCTCGGGTGTTGCAGGTGTCCATGGGCAGCGGTAATCACTTACCATCAGGTGAGCCTCCTGCTCGTTTGCCCCTTTTCTCCATAAAAAAAAAAAAAAAATGAGTCACAGATCCGACACGGACAGGTTAGGTTAGAAGGTTAAGAAGGGAGCAGCCGCCTTAGCCTTCGTGGTTATTTTCTGATAACCACCCTGGAATAGGAGCTTAAAAACAATAGTGATAATGTAGTGTTTTCGTTAAGACGCAGTTGTGAATTGTTTTTGTATATAAAACATAAAAATAGTAATGTGTTTATGATATCTTCCTTGAGTGCCCCTGTATCAAAATAAAAAAGTAAGTTTAGAAGCGTTTTTATGTATTAGTATTGCATTTCCGTAATGGAGTTAATAAGTTTTAATATTTTTATTTTTTATGATAAGTCGGCAATATCGTAGATTTTTACTCTTAACATCTAAATATATGCTACGTTTTTTTATCGTTTTAAAATATTTAAAAGAAAAAAAAAACCTATACCGCTAATCTGTATTATTTAATTTCAATTTTTCAAAGGTGTGCGGTATTACAGGCAGACAATATACGTATGAGCAAATCTATAAACAGTCACAAGTTCTAGGAGCAGTCTTGAGAAAGAAATTTAGAATAAATAACGGTGACACTGTGGCTATTATGTTGCCTAATTTACCTGAATATCCAACAGCTATTTTGGGTGTACTGAGCGCTGGGGGCTTGGTCACCACTTTGAATCCAAATTATACTGCGTGTAAGTATGTGTTTATATGTTTTGTATATATACTTTGTGGCAGTAACATTATATTATCAACGAAAACCGAAATGATATGTCCCTTTCTACGGTGATGAAGCTAATTTATGATGATAATTATATTAGGCATTTTCTATTTACATTACGCGGAATCACTTTTTGTTCCAAATTGATTGGAGTTCTGTACAATCGTCTTGACAAATTTTGACTACATACAGTACGTATTCTTATCAAAACTCAATACATGCATGGGAATATAATACAATATCGATACATGATAAGTTACTGTTAAAACTATTCTTTATACAGGGAGGCTTTTCTAAGTGTATACATTCTTTTAAATTAAATTCTGGACATAAATAATGGTATATAAAAATGACAAATATTTTAAATCACTCATAAGTAATTAATTAAATTCATTTAAACTTATCCCAAAAAATGCGTGACTTAAACGCAACTCATTTATTTTACGCGCGATCATTCATAACTAACACGCACACAAGTTCGTTTGTGTGCGTGAACAGTAAAACTTAGGTATTTATGAATGACTACCGCGATGTCAACAAGTTCTATTTTTTAGGGAATGGTATTTTTTTTTTTTAAAAACTTGTTTTTTTTTTTTTTCAATAAACGATTATACTACCGAGTCTGAACTTCCTGTGTAAATTTGGGCACCTTTAAAAAAGTCTCCCTGAATAGCAATAATTAGAAAACTATGTAGAAAAGTGATTTTAAATGTTTACAGATGAAGTTCAGAGACAAATTCATATGTCTGACGCGAAGTTAATTACTGTCACCGCAGATATTGTTCCTACAGTTAAGCAAGCATTAGAATTATGCAAAATGAACATTCCAATTGTGGTCATTTATATAGAAAGTCCTCTCCCGGAGGGAACTATATCTTTTAAAGAAATAATTGAAGATAACCATGTTGATCTCGGTATACTCAAATAAATACTCGGAGAAGTAAATAGAACTAGCGAAGATGTCGCATTTTTGCCTTACTCCAGTGGAACTACAGGACTACCCAAAGGCGTTGAGTTGACTAATCGCAATATTATAGCTAATGTCGAGCAACAAAACACAGAAATTAAACAATATGTGGATACCACAGGTAACTAACTCGATATAAAGTAGCAAATTATCAGTTTTTATGCTATAGGTACATGAAATGACCATAAACTATTCATACACATACCTCTTTTAGAATGACTACAGAACTGGATACAAATAATGTGAACAAAAATTCCCAATTTCTTAGTTTCAACTGCAATGCAATGAATCAGCAATATAATAAACAGTAATACTTATTATAGAAACGTAGAAATATATGAACATACGATGTTGAAATTTAGTGTACATGTCGACCTTTACGTTGAGGTCTGTCCGTGGGTGATTTTATTTGCAGGAATGCTCGTTTATCATTGATTTTCAAGATTAAGCGATGGTATTAGTCATCAGAACATAGGGGTCAATAACACAAAATTGAAAGTGACAAGACACGTTTAACTAAAATCTTATCCTTTAAACGAGCAATTCTTGTATATATACACATATATATATATATATATATATATATATATATATATATATATATATATATATATATATATATATATATATATAATCGGAATCTCGGAAACGGCTCCAGCGATTTTCATGAAATTTAGTATGTGCATAGATTTGGGGGCGAAAAATCGATCTAGCTAGGTTTCATTTTTAGAAAATGTCCTTTTATCCCTGCTTTCAGGGAATGAAAAATATAATTCGAATATGACGGTAAATTTCGCCGCAAGAGAAAATGTCAAAATAGCTCGGTCGGTAATCGGGCGGCCCCAAAACAGACGGCCGTGGTTCGCGTCACGATCATTTACACATTTATTTTTTATTTTTTTTTTTCCGATTCTAGATCATTGCTTTGTTTATTTTTAATTTTTTGTTGATTTCTTATTTTGTTATTTTTTCCTTTTTTTTAAAGTTATTTTTTTTGTGAAAAACATCAGTTCATATTTTCTTATTATTACGTCGGTAAGATCGAAAAATATTATGCATATTTCATTACTCAGTAATTTGTGTCTAAATGTAATTTCCAAAATACACGATTTACCAAAAAAAAAACAAACCGAGCAAAGCTCGATCCTCCGGGTACTTATATGTAATATAATTACATGTTTGCACATTATTGTAATCGGTCAAGGAAAGATTACTCATATTTCATAAATATATATATAAACTTTATTAAAAGTTCGTAAAAATTTTTCACTATTCGATAACGTATTAAACATTTTGGTACTTTATCTGTAATTCGGTGTGTCGCTTAATTACTGAGTTCCTATGGCTCCATCCTTCCAGCTCCATCACCAGACCCTGGTCACCGTCTCAAGACGAATCAAACTTTGCTGTTGCAGGAAGGGACAGGTCCGTCCAGGGAAGTACCACGACCTCACAGAAGACTGGCGTCAAGTGGAAGTGTTATACTTCGGTGTTTCGTCTAGTGAGTGATTTAATCGGGGCCCCCTTTATCAAACGGTGGCAACGCACGGGTTACACTGCATTGGGTGTTTCAAATGTCCATGGGCGGTGGTTTTCACTTAAAATAAGGTGAAACGCCAGCTCGCTGGCCATCTTCTTATACAAAAGACTTTTTTTTCTATTTCCAGATTCGCATCAAGATAACGTGTTAGTTTCTCTACCAATGTTTCACTCCTACGGTATGACAATTGTGACCCTACACAAACTTAGTGTCGGTATAAAGCTTGTCACCTTACCAAGATTCAAGCCTGAAACTTTCATAAATACATTAGCAAAGTACCACTTCCACTTGTTCTACTTTGCACCACCAACAGGTAAACAAAGTAAAGACATAATGTGTAAATGCTTTTTTACTATTTTTTTTTATGTCAAAAGTTGCCAAACGAGCAGACGGTTCACCTGATGTTAAGTGAATACCGCCGCCCATAGACATCAGCTACACCCGAGGGTTTGCAGATGCGTTAACAACCTTTTTGGAAATTGGGCTCCGGCTACCTCACTCACCAGACGAAACGCGAAAGTATTTATCATACTTCCACTTTACGCCGGTCTTCTGTGAGGTCGTGGTACTTACCCGGACGAGCCTGCCCATTCGTGCAACAACCGAGGCTGCTGCGTGGCTCTACCACGGTTAAAAATTATGTTGTTAAAAGTTACTATTATATAATGGTTTCTTAACCGGGGAGCTCATCGTTTAACATCGATAGAGTACTTATTAATTTTTGTAATAATTATTGTTTTAATATATTATTATCTTTGGTGTCAATGAAAATAAATCTTAGGTATTTTTCAAGTATTACGAATATATGAGTAATACAACATTTTAGATCAAACAGGTTATTTAACTTCTGAAAAATTCTAACTTCAAAAAAGGAGGAGGTTCACGATTCGTCAGAATCTTTTTTTGTTAACCGACTTCAAAAAGGATCATTAAAGTATGTTTACCGATTACGCGAAGACGCCTGAACCACTTTAGAGAATTATTTTTGTACTGGACTCGGTATATCTTCCATGTGGTCTCATATTAATTGTATTGATGTTGGATATTTAAATCTGGAGATAAATAAACGGAACTCCTCAAACTCAAATAGAAATTGAAGAGTGAGTGAGATAATATTTGAAGTCAGTTTACTACACGTATCGTGCAGTTTCTCTATAATATAATTGATGCCTCACCACTTTAAATTAATATTTTATGTAAGCAAATAACAGTGAAGTTGATGTTTCAACAATTAAATTGAGCCCCAATGACATTTTGTTTTTCAGTCCTCTTTTTGGGCTCACATCCTCAAGTGCAAACAAAACACTTTGAACATTTAAGATGCGTGACAAGTGGCGCTGCCCCGTTGCCAATAGCAGACATTGAAAGGTTTTTGGAGAAAGTAAACGTAAGAAACTTCTTAAACTCGCTTTCAATGATGAAAAAAGTTCCATAGGGGTGAACTTCAGTTTGATAGTTTCAATAATAGCAAATATTGATGTCTGTTAGGTCAAGATTAGGGAGAGAGCTTCATGATTATATCTAGAATAGTCAGATCTTACACTGTCACAAAATAAAATCTAATATATTCGCCGCAAATTACGAGGAAAGTAGCATGCGTTGACCAGAGAAACTTTCGTATTTTGTATTCAAGAGTGTGAACCCGATAGATAGTTGTTTTAATTGATTATTTTTTAATTATTAATATTATTTGTAAATGATTATTTGTAAATGTTTTAGGCGAATAGTCACTTTTGTCAAGCCTATGGCTTAACGGAGACTGCACCTCTCCCAACTGCCAGTCCTCTTGGTTACAAAGAATATTCTAAAGTGGGATTTGGTCTTCCAAATGTCGAGTTAAGGATAATAGACGAAAATTTAAAAAATCGCGGGCCTAATGAGGTAAGGATGAAATTAAGGTTTCACAATATGTAACGGTTGCTTGTACAAAAATTCACATCATGAATTAGATAAACACCTTTAGCTTTCTCAACTTGGATTAATGAGTACCACTGTGAAAAAATCATAAACACAAAGAAACGCAACATCTATAATGATCTAAATCATATTGTGAAATAAATAAGTAAAATATACATGTCACATTGCTTTGCCTCTGTCTAGATGGTGTTATTACAGATTCTACAACGCTTTTCCATTGAGTATTGGCATATTTTTTATAATAGGTTTCTTCATATGATCACTCAAGGTAAAGCCAAAAGAAACCTAGTCTGGGCTGGTCTGTGGTACACTACATGAGCCAGCCCGAAAGCGCCGCTCCGAGTGGGCTCATTAAGCCCATTTTCGAAGGGTGTTGGGAGGGTGGACAGGTCGAGAGGAAAGCAACTCACCCTGTCTTCTGCTACCGAAGTATTGGGTTTAGCCGTTCTCCCTATTATGATATATTGTAACGTGTGATTTCATCACTTTGTCGAAATTGTCGTTTTTCTAAAGACTAGGCTGCATGTCATTTGAACCTTTGCCTGTGCGAAAGGACGAATGTATAAGTTAACTTCATTTGGTCGTACTTGTCATTTGATATTGCCGCCGGTTCGAATTGACATTGGATAAATTAGTTTTTGTGGATCTATTATCTTCGACCGGTAAGTAATTGCTTGGTTTTCATGCCAGTGGTTGTTTTGTTTACGTATTTCGTTTTCTTATCAATTTGCTTTTTTACAGTGCATGGCTAGAGGTTGAAATCAGAACACATTCCTGGTCGTATTATTTGTGATTGCTGTCTGGGAAACTCTGTGCTGGATTTGTTGTCCCTCGTGGTAAGATCCTTTGCTATTTTCACTGGTTTCCTACTAAAATTGTAAAAGACTTGCATTGAGAATGTATTTAGAATTGTTTTTTACCTCCAGTTGGTAAGTTTTTCACATCTTATAATTGTAGGTGGATTCAAATCCCTGCCTTTGTTAGTTCTACAATTTAGTGTTTGTTGGCAGGAGGTCTCCTACATACCCCCCCAACAGTGTGGCTGTACACACTACACTTGGCCTGACTTTCTCTACTGGTTCTGAGCTCAACGCTGACCTGTGCACACAGGGCAGATGTCTCTGCGGTGACATAGATTTTAAATAACTACCTGATTGGACTTTGTTTTTTTTTTAAATTGAATTGCATAAGTATTTACCATCTCAAATTAATTTAATTATTTAACCTTTTATGAATTTGTGGCTGATCGAGTGGCTCCGTACAAAAGGATAAAGGAAGTTTCTTTTATAGATATTATACCGAAAAATCCATCTGGGAAGATTTTAAGAAGGGTTCTTAAAGAAAAATATTGCAAATAAAAACATTTTATTAAATAAAAAATCCCGTCTGTACTACGATCGGTTATTCAAATATAAAGTATTTGGATATTCCACTATTTATGTACAAAAATCGCTGTTCATCCTCTTCCACAGAATATACATTACGCATATCTTACAAATTTATGATTAAATTATAAGAAACATTTATATAAATTTAAACCATAGTTGAGTCTTATGTACGGCGTTAGTACCCTCTACCCGTTACATTTGAGAATCAGTCACCTCTATTAAATGTGGATTGCATAAGCTATCGATGCGCATCGTTTGTTCAAAATGCCATATCAATGATCTGATTATTTTAGAACAAATTTTGTGGTTACAATAGTAAGTATTATTACATTAAACATTTAGTCTTACATTACAATAGCTACGTATATTGGTTTTTTAATATATTTAAAGTTTCTTTTATTAAATATAGTGTCATTTATCTTTATGAGGGCAAGAGAAAAGATTTTTCCCTTTTTTAAATAAAGCACTTCATTAATTTTGCTGCAAGTATCAAAAACACTTCATTAAATTTGTTTTTAAGTAACGGAAGATTTTTCTTACCGTAGTACAACCTCGTTGAAGTCATTTAGAACAGGAGAGAGATAAAACTGGAGCGTCAAAATTATTGTGGGCTGGGTAAAAAAATGATTTCATATTTAATTATCGTCGCTCAAGTTTCTATAAGTTAAGTACGTACCTACTTAAATTAAAAAGTTGAACTAAATAGGTGAGAAAGATTTAGTTTACTATTATATTTTAAAAACGGCTATCAACTTATTTATCAAATTATATCCATCACGATTAAAATAAACTGAATTAAAAAATTACATTCTGTATATATCGCGTATGCAAGGCTGGAGGCGAATGTGATATTTAGCAAAATCTACGAATGTAACATCAAACAGAAAACTTAAACTCTAGTGCTAATCTCTGCACTTAAGATGAAACATTCATCATCAATATCGGTCTGGCAATGAGGGATCGCAAAGCTTATTGGTTAAAGCTTCTGGGCACGAATCTAAAGACGTGGGTTCGGTTTTCTCATCGGCGCATATCTTTTCGCCCATGTTTTCTATAAATTCTAATCAAACAAAAAGTCTTCCCTGTGTCTTTTGTTCTTTCAATCAGACAAAAGGTGTATTCCTGATATAACCGTATAGGAAACAAAGGTGGAGCAATGTGATATTGCTTGCTACAGAATTTTGCAAACAGTAGCTATTATTAGGGAACCAGGATTGTTGAAATGGATTCCGAGCAACACGCGCTCTGAGTGCGCTACTACCACCTCCAGAGGATGGTTAAACTCTTGGAACTGATCAGAATTATCTTCTTAATGATCAGAATTATGAATTAAAACGGTTTAACCATCCTTTAGGCAACTCAAATGACATTTGTCAGCTGATTAGTTTCATTGTTCACAATATCTTTCCAGTAGTGGGGATTGAACCCACACCCTCTGGTCCTAGAACCAGGTGCTCTACGCCACTACGCCAATCGGGTCGTCGGATTGCTTGGACTGAACGCATCCACAAGCCCTCAGGTGTTACCAAGGTCGAGTCTGACTCGCGCATGAACGGTTCTGTACCATCATCAATCAAAACGACAAAAAATCATGTCTGTTGTATGTAAAAAAATCTGAAGCTTGATTGAAGAAAAGATTCTTTTTATTTAGTATTTGTAGTATTCTTAGTATTTCTTAGTATTTGTAGTATTCTTAGTATTTCTAGTATTTCTTTTAGTATTCTTTTAGTATTTGTTGTTATATTGGCAACAGAAATACATCATCTATAAAAATTACAACAGTTTAACTATCACGGTTCATGAGATACAGCCTGGTATTTGACAGACAGACGGACGGACAGACAAATAGACAGACAGACAAACAGGGAGCGGAGTCTTAGTAATATGGTCCCTTTTTATGGTTCCGTATTTTTATGGTAATTTTTATGGTTCCGTACCCAAAGGTTAATAAAAAAAGGAATAGCTACTCGACGGACAGCAGTAAAGGCAGTTGATTATATTCAAAGATCTATTATGAGGAAAAACTGGGCTGTTCTGAAGCTAGTACTGTCAGCAAAGCAAGCCCAGAATTGGGTACCACCCTAAAAGTTGCGTATCAGTTTTATACGACAGCCTTTGTGCTTATACAAGGCTGCCTTTGTATTAAAAGTTCTCTGTAAATGTGAAATCATGTTCGGAACGTGCTGCTTCATCTTTTGTAAGCAGATATATTCGAGTGCAATTATTTTTACATTGTATACGAAATACAAAAGGAACATAACTGCTTAAGTAAGTGTGAATGAAGACATTTGGATCAAGAGCAAATAAATATAACAATGTAGAAAAGTTACAATGTCAAATGGAAAGGGAAAAATAATATCAAAATCTAAACATATTAACTATCTGTAAAGGGAATTAACAATGTGTTTTTTATTACACACCAGAATATCTGGCAGATGGCTGACCTTTTACCTACTTAGTTGACACTTATCATTACCTATATTTTGAACAATTTTCCACAATATTTTTATAAATTATAGACTATGTGTTATTCTGATATTTAAGCTATATTATTGTAGTTTCATTAAAATATATTCAGTAGCTTTTGCGTGAAAGAGTAACAAACATACATCCATACATACAAACTTTCGCGTTTATAATATTATAGTAAGGACTAATATAAATTAAGCTTAAGACATATCAAACGTCGTTTTCAAATGGTTTATCCAATAGTACAAGACTCTTTTGACTAAAAAAAACGAGCCAAGTGCGAGTTGGACTCGCGCACGTGATTCCGTACCACACAACATGAATGAAACAACAAAAAAATCATGTCTGTAGTATGGGAGTCCCACTTAAATATTTTTATACTGTTTTTTTAGAATTTTTTGTTATAGCGGCAACAGAAATCAACCAATCAACAATCAACCTCATCTGTGAAAATTTCAACTATCACGGCTTAAACGACGAACAGACAGACAGCGGAGTCTTAGTAGTATGGTTCCTCTTTAACCGTTGGGTACGGAACCCTAAAAAAGCTTTAAATAGTGAGCTCAGAAAGTTTTTTTGAGTAGGTACACCGAAACAGCAAACCTCAATCACTAAAAGAGAAACTATAATAGTTCGTGAACATAAATATAACAACTGTATTGTTTAAATTAAAATTTGTAGAAATACTGTACTGTTTGTTAGGTTCACAACTCACAAAAAGCTCGTTAATACGCTTCTTCTATGTCTCTTCTTCCATGCTTCTTCTTCCATGCTTCTATGTATTATACAATTAACAAATGTTGTTACATAAAGTAAATATTATTCGCCAACGATACTCATTTTGAGCTTAGCGCCATCTATCCTATCCCGAAAACACAAAAATAAAAAGAAATAAAGTTTTACTATTACAATTTTTACGAGAGTTGTGCCTTGGCTATTGAAATTTAAATTTTATACAACTTTTTATGATGCTAATCTCTGCACTTATGAAACATTAAAATTAGTTGATTCCCGCGGCGGTACTTTTCTTCCACTTTTCTATTTTAGTTATAATGAACAATTTTAATATAATGAAATAACAGAACTGATTGACTGGCTGAGCCACTACTACAACACAGTCTTACTTTAGTTATCTCAGTTGCATAAAAGTAAATGAAAGCAAAGTAGCAGCCTATAAATGTCCCACTGCTGGGTGGCCTTTACCCTTTCCTCTCAACGGACGACGAACTGTGTTAGGGGCACACAGCAGCCTCGGCTGTTGCACAAATGGGCAGGCTCGTCCGGGTAGTTAACATAACCTCACAGAAGACAGAAGACCGGCGTGAAGAGGAAGTATAATACTTTCACCTTTCATCTGGTGAGTGAGCCGGAGCATTGCAACGCATCTGTAACCCTCGGGTGTAGCAGATTTCCATGGGCGGCGGTATTCACTTAACATCAGGTGAACCGCAAGTGCCAGTTGGCAACTTTTAGTCCACCACGATACCCCACTTTGGGTTAGCGAACTTCACATCTTCGAAATATTTTTATTTCGAATATATGCAGGTTTCCTCGAGATATTTTCCTTAACCTCTGAGCACGTGACAAGTCAGAACTTAAAAATAATTTTTAGATGAATGGACAAAAAGTGTGGTGTGAGATTCAAACCTGCGTCTTCCCGGCAACGTGCCCAACCGCTATACCAACTAAGCGGTTGATTAACTCACGGTTCGAAAATCTCTGCATCCCACTGTCCACCTATCTATCTATCTATCCACTTTTTTTATTGCATTTTTAGCAATGCTTCGTTCCATCTTGTTTAAATAAATTACAGTATGAAACATCTTACAATTAATATGAATATTTTTATTTTTTCATCATTTACGATGAATATTTATTACGAGAGAACATCTCTCGTAACAAATATTTAGCCTTTTCTAAAGGGGATTACTCATTTTTATTCCGAACACACCCAACAATTTACTTTTATGAATAAAAAATGTGCCATAATTTTTCTTTACGTCTAAAAACATTCATTTAATCTGTTTACACGAGGATGCCATATTCAAAATAATAACAAGTCCTTTTAAAAGTAAATTAAGATTACATAACCGCTTTTATATAACGTTCACACAATAGTGTTTCATTATTTATAAATATAGACAATCAACTGTGGTAGGGCCACACAACAGATTTTGCTGTTGCACGATTGGGCAGGTCCATTCGGGGTTAGTACTACGACCTCACAGATGACCGATGTGAAGTAGAAGTATTATATTTCTGCGTTTCGTCTGGTGAGTGAAGTAGCCGGAGCCCACTTCATTCAAAGGTGCCGCATATGCAAACCATCACTTAACATCAGATGAACCGCCAGTTCGTCTACCTCTTTCAGGCATAAAAAAAAATATTGATTATCTAACGGATTATTCATAGATACTTTATTATATACTCAAGTATCATGTTGATATTTGTAAAAACACGTTGGTCATCTGTGGTACTGTGGTACGGATTAAGGACGAACTGTCGGACGAAGCTACCATATCACAGTGAAATAAAGAACAATGAAACTTGGGACGGATGAAATTTTATAAAATAAAACAATGTTTCATTTTAAATTTTTTTCTTTAAGCACCTTTCTTAAAATCTTCCCAGATGGATTTTTCGGAATAATATCTATAAAAGAAACTTCCTTTATCCTTTTGTATGGAGCCACTCGTTCGGCCACAAATTCCATTATGTCTTTCTCACTAACATTTTTTGCTTCGTCTTTTAAAACAATGAATGCTTTTGGCTTTTCACCTGTTTTGGAATCGGGAATTGGTACGACAGCCGCATCAATAACGGCAGGGTGTTCCTTACAAACACTTTCTAACTCGGCGGGAGGCACTTGGAATGCATTTACCTAGAGAAAACCATAGAAAATCATGTTATACTCCTTTATAATTATAACGTGTCGTAGGGAACGTAACCCCTTTTAGTCAAAGTGGTAAACTTGGATGACATTTCAATGCAACGTAACTATATCACAGCACACAAAACCATCGGTCATAAAACTTGACGAAAAGAATAAACAGAGGAAAAGACAAATCGACAGAAATTATTTCAAACAAGCTCTCCATTTATTTTCCTACGGTGGGGGCCACGCAGCAGCCTCGGCTGTTGCACGAATGGGCAGGCCCGTCCGGGTAAGTACCACGACCTCACAGAAGACCAGCGTAAAGTGAAAGTATGACAAATACTTTCGCGTTTCCTCTGGTGAGTGAGGTAGCCGGAGCCCAATTTTCAAAAGGCTGTCAACGCATCTGTAACCCTCGGGTGTAGCAGATGTCCATGGGCGGCGGTATTCACTCTCGATCAGGTGAACCGTCTGCTCGTTTGGCAACTTTTCACATAAAAAAAATTAAGATATATGCATAGAAGATTTGAGGTTAAACATTAAATTTCACCTTAATCAACTCCTTCAGCCGATCTGATATCGTGACGGCACCCAATTCATCGATCGCAGCCATATCTCCTGTTCTCAGCCAGCCATCGTCTAAGAAAACCTGCTTGTTAGCCTCTTCGTTATCTTTGTAGCCTTTCATCACATTAGGTCCTTTTATAAGTAATTCACCCACCTGTTGGATTTAATAAGAATGTAACGACATATTAATTTTATGTAATATTAATTTATGGCTTTTAATTAATATGTTTCCGGAACCTGACTTCTAATTACGATGCCAGCACAAATGAAATTTTCAAGCTGTTAAGAATTATTATGTAGTACCTAATTTTATTTGTTTGTTTCAAAAGAAACTGTACTTTCCGTTGTATCTTTTGTAGGGAAATTTTAAAAGCAGTTGATTTATGTAAAGACTGTTCTGTACTGTAGTAGCAATTGTTCGAAAATAAACTACGTAGTATTAACCGTGCTATTTCATTGTGATGGACTATGAGTGTGAAGACCCTGGGCATATGGCCAATGTATTATAATTAAAAAAAAAAACAGTTTCTCTGGACAGGTCTAGATTAGTGAAGTGAAAAAACGAAGACATGGGTTCGATTCTCACAGCGGCGACAATCTTTTCGCACTTTTTCTACAAATTTTAATGTTCAATAAGAACTTTAAATAACCGTCTAGAAACCTTGGCCCAACAGTGAGAAAAATATTATTTGTGCCGTTACATTATGATTCTGTTCCTACCGACTCGTCATTATTTTACAACAACTAAATAAAATCAAAGCAAATCTATTTTAAATCCTTACCTCATTTGGTCCGCGATTATTTAAGTTTCCGTCAATTATCCTTAACTCGATATTTGGAATACCAAATCCCACTTTAGAATATTCTTTGTAACCAAGAGGACTGGCAGTTGCGAGAGGTGCAGTCTCCGTTAAGCCATAGGCTTGACAAAAGTGACTATTAGGCTAAAACATTTACAAATAAACAATTAAAACAACTATCTATCGGGTTCACACTCTTGAATACAAAATTCACAAAAAGTGACAGTTGGTCTAAAACATCTTAAGTCATACTGCAAAAAAAAAAATATTATGAATTCAAATTAATTTTCACATTAAGGTATTGTAAAATGAGGGGTGATATTTACCTACGTGTGTAAAAACCCTCTTTAATAAAATATATTAAAAAAATAGTATTGTAAAAATGTTGAAAAACACTAGAAAGTTTTTAAAATCAAATTGTAAAAATCAAGAAAACTTAGATAATTCAGTGTTTACACTTTTTATCACTAGAAACGAATTTAAGAAGTATCTTACGTTTACTTTCTCCAAAAACCTTTCAATGTCTGCTATTGGCAACGGGGCAGCGCCACTTGTCACACATCTTAAATGTTCAAAGTGTTTTGTTTGCACTTGAGGATGTGACCCCAAAAAGAGGACTGTAAATTTACGTAAATCACTAGGTAATAGCTTAAAGAACTTGGAGAAAAAAGGATAGCATGGAATGTCTTTGCTCATCGTGTGTTTACGCATGTTACAATACATACTGTAGAAGCTGATTTAAAAATTTAATACGTAAGTATTAAAAAATATCAATAAGACGTACAATGTTGTTGTAGTTGTAGCACACGCTTGTTCCAAGGTCGACTTAACACCAACGGGATTTCCATCCAGGCAACCTTTGGGTGGCGTAATGCTATGTTATGTATAACATATAACACGCACTCATACATACAGCATATAACTACTAATTTAACGACCCGAATGGCGTAGTGGATAGTGTACCTGCTTCCTGCTTTCCTTCCAGAGGGTGTGGGTTCGATCCTCACTACTGGAAAAATATTGTGTGATGAACATAGTTTTTTTCTAGTGTCTGGGTGTTTATATATGTATAATATGTATTTATTTACAAAATAAAAGTATTTTTAAGTAGCATTGCTTAGTTTGGGACTAGAGAACGACGTGTAAAAATGTGTCCTAAAATATTAAAAAAAAAATAAAAAAAGTAATGATGATCTCGTAATACAGTTGACTGTTTTTTTTTTTTATATGAGAAAGAGGCAAGCGGCTAATAAACGCCGCCCATGGATATTTGAAACACGCGTGAGGTTCAGATTCGTGTAAAGCGGTGATTAAAAGTAAAATCAAGGACTGGCAAATCACAGACATCAAATTGATTTTCTGTCTTAAGAAATTTTTTAGCCTACAGAAGCAATGCAGTGAGTCTTTGACTAATATTTGCAATATGGTCTTGCCAGTTAAGTGTCGTGTCGATGATTAAGCCGAGATTGTGTACGCTCTGACAAAAAGGGATTGGAGAATTGTTGAAAATTATTAGCTGAAGACTTCCAATATCCACTTCCCTAATAGTACGAGCACTGCCCATTGGCAGAAATTGTCAAGTCATTGTATTGTATTGTCATTACAATACAATACAATGACTTGACAATTTCGACGAATCAACAGTTAAGACAAAATTTATTTGTTCACAAGTTTTCAATGGTACTAAAACTACAATCGTATATTCCTGATAAATAAGCACCGGTTAGTATTAATTATCATTGAAATAATTATCTAAACATAACTTTTATCGTCGATCGTGATAAAGCGTAAAGGCCTAATGTGAAACGTGATAAGGCCAATTACTTAAATGAAGGGTATATTTATTCAAATAATCAGACTTTAGTATTTCGTGTTCCATACATACGAGTATGTAATGAATGCAAACGAAATGCAGAGTACTCATTTTCCTATTTCCTCTGTATACCTATACAGAGGAAATAGGAAAATGAGGAAAATGAGGAAATAGGAAAATAGCCTTATTTTGGTCATAATTATTGCAATCAATATATTAAACTCACCCACAACTTTTTATTGACGATATTCTTAATTAGTGTAACAGGCTTATTTCAGATTGTTTTTTAGATTTATTTGAGATTCAAAATTTTCACAACGGTTTCTTAACAGACAGCTGATTAGTTGACATCTACGATGATCAATGTTTCAGAAAACTCGCTTAAAAATGTTAAATATTTAGCTTAACATGTTTCATAGTATTTTTATTTAAAATATTAGTTGACGTTGAGCAAGTGAGAAACAATCACCTAATAGTAAATTATTATTATCATATCATCTATAATACTGAAAGCCTTATGGATCAGTTTTTATCTCATTTATCGTACCAAACGTAAAATTGTAAAACTAAAAGTAGAATTAGATAAACTTTACCCTAGTTTTAATTCAAAGCATCGTAAAATGCCTCAACTTTTAATCTCTTTATATTTTACCTGTTGGAGGTGCAAAGTAGAACAGGTGAAAGTTGAACTTCGCTAATGTATTGATAAAAGTTTCAGGTTTGAATCGCGGCAAGGTAACAAGCTTCAAACCCACACTGAGCTTGTGTATAGTCACAATTGTCAGACCATAGATGTGAAACATTGGTAGCGAAACTAGCACATTATCTTGGTGGGAATCTGTAAATACAAATCGTGATATGAAAATTGATCTGAAAAATACACGGTAAATAAACGGGTACATATTCAAATAACGCAATCATTTCTATTCATTCAGTTACCTGTGGTATCAGCATATTGTTTAATTTCAGTATTTTGTTGTTCGACATTAGCTACAATGTTGTAGTTTGTCAGCTCAACGCCTTTAGGTAGTCCAGTTGTACCACTCGAGTAAGGCAAAAATGCAACATCGTCAGCGGTTCTTTCAACCTCTCTTAGAATATTGAGATCAACATGTTCATCTTCGATTATTTCCTTATAGGATACAGTTCCCTCTGGAAGAGGATTTTCTGAATTGATGGCAATAATTGGAATCTTCGTTTTGCATAATTGTAATGCTTGCTTAACTGTGGGAACAATCTCTGAATAGGCAATAATTAACTTCGTATGAGACATATTAATTTGCCTTTGAACTTCATCTGTAAAATATCATTATCAACAATATCATGTGTATGAAGCAGTATTAATTATTTACCAAATATTTGCACGAATAAATCTATCTAAAATTACATATTATGTAATAAACCTAATCGACGCGGCATGGTGCCAAGAACGCTAGCTGCATTTCCTCGCTGAATAGTTGTTATGCTTAACCTTTGAGGGAGAACTAGCCCTCTTGTCACCAGCCGCGGCATTAAGCCTAGGAAATAAACCTTTAAATATTTTTGATATGCTTGAACCCCACGGATCCAAAGTTTCAACAACAAACGGCTCAAATACCTAATCTAAACATAGAGCATCATATTTGCGCCATTTACTTACTTCAGCTGCCTTCGATGCCGCCCCGGCCCTGACCGAAGTACGCCTTATATGAGAGGCAGTGAAAGTGTACACAAGTAGCAACCTAAACAAGGGCTTTGCCTCTCTGCCTAGGGATCAAAGTTAAACCGTCGCGAAAAATGCAAAATGAAAGGGCTCTAAAATAGATCGAATGCGACATCATTCAGGGAACCGTGGGGGGAAAAGCGGCCAGCACTTTTTTGACAAGAAAGCTCGTGGAGACCAAATTTGTCTAAACTGACACCACAAGGGCATTGGTGTGGTTGACAAATCGATGTCCCCAGACGCATTCCTACAGCAATGCGTAAGCTTTCATCGTCAATTAATGTGCCCAAGTTACTTGTTGGTAAAGCGTTAAGCCAATAACTAGATTATTTAGATGATTTTTATGATTTATGATTGGTTCAGTGCCCAAAATATTTTCGTAATCAACTGCTTTTTTATATAGAGCAATGGTTCGAACTAGTTCGTTTTTACCAAATATATCAGGCTACGAAAACTTTCCCATCGCTGCGGGAATCGCATCATCCATTTTTCTACACATTTTAATACTTTAAATTCTTCTTAAGTGCAGAGATAAGCACTATAATTTTTATTTCATTTCAAATACCAATGGCGACACCTTCCGTTCGAATTATCGTTGTAAAACGATATACATATATAATTGTCTGTGTGCTGTATAACAATAGATTTTCCAAGTGTTGCTTAAAAAGCAAAAAGAGAATATTGAAAAATACGTTGAGATATTTGTCGATGTGCCAATAAGCCGTTAGCTTAGTGGTTAAAGTCTCTAAAGATCTGAGCGCGAATCCAGAAGACGTAGCTGCTATTCCCGTAGAGACGAAAAACTTATCGTTCCAGTTTCATGTTATGATTTCTCCTCTTCTGGTCACCAAGGAGTAACAAAATTATTTCGGCATTTGATGGGGATGACATACCTAAGTTGGCGTGCAAAACACAACATAATTTTAAATGATATATACACAGAATATGTACGTGTAACATCTACTCACATGCAGTATAATTTGGATTCAAAGTGGTGACCAAACCCCCAGCATTTAGTATGCCAAATATCGCCGTTGGATATTCTGGTAAATTGGGCAACATAATAGCCACAGCGTCACCATTTTCTATTCTAAATTTCTTCCTCAAGACTGCTCCTAGAACTTGTGACTGTCTATAGATTTGCTCATACGTATATTGTCTGCCTGTAATACCGCACACCTTTGAGGAATGGAAATGAAACATTACCATTTCTTTAAATTTGACAGACATGAACACAAGACAGTTGAAGTAAGAAGTTTGCAAATTATACCTACATCTACAATTAAAAAATAGCAAACTAATTTTTTTTTATACGATTTGTCATATTATTGATAACATGTTGTATGCTATTGTTTTTTTTTTTTTTTTTTTATTAAGAATTATAATTAAATGAAAAATTCGGTTACATGAGAGACTTTCTCTATTATTTTTAAGATTTTTGATTATGAGTTTTTCGGAAGTTTCATCTGTGGTAAGGCCACGCAGCAGCCTCGGCTATTGCACGAATGGGCAAGCTCGTCCGGGTCAGTACCATGACCTCACACAAGACCGACATGAAGTCAAAAGGTTAATACTTTCGCTTTTCGTCTGGTGAGTGATGTAGCCGGAGCCCAATTTCCAAAAGGTTGTCAACGCGTCTGCAACCTTCGGGTATAGCGGATATCCATGGGCGGCGGTGTCCACTTAACATCAGGTGAAACGCCTGCTCACTTGGCAACTTTTCACATTAAAAAAAGAATATGGGCAAAAACTTCGATCAATTTTAATTTTTTTTTTATGAATAAACCCTAATTCCTGAGATTGTATTACAAACTATAACAACCACAGTTTCATCAAGATCGTCAATGTATTCAATTGTTATTTTTGTATATTAACATGCTTTGAACTTCAAAACTCTCAATTATTATACAGGAATGTCAATGACACTAACATCTTCTTTGTGTATGGTGCAGAAGAATGTCAATAAATTGAAACACATATTTTTTCAAGAGTAATTGCTTTAAAATATATCAATGATCAAATACAAAAAAAAATGATTAAATGAATTAAATTTACCGTAGCAGTCTTTGTGGGCCATTTATCCAAATTCTTCCACACATGTTCCACGAAAGTCGAGTTCGGTATTTCGATGTCCTTAAACGGTGATTTAACTATATTTTCACTAGTCCACACGTGACTTTCCCTCACTCCAGTACTTATTGAGCCTCCGCAAGCTCGCTTGCAGACGTTATTTACGATCGTTGTTAATTTCAGCATAGTTGCGAACAAAATAAAATTTATTTCAACGAAACTTAGGTATATACTGCACAATATCGGCTTATTTTAGACCGAAAGAGATTATTTTGAATAAATAAACAATAACACGCTGCGGAATTGACGTTCGAAACGGACGTTGCCCCCACGGTGTCGCTAACTGAATAGCAAACAAGCTAAAAGCAGTTACATGGCCCCATCACTCACTGATCTGTGAAGGAGAATGATATTGCAACACAACTGATCAAGAGTGCGGGCGAGTTATTGAACATTTTTTACTTATCTGAAATAATCGACGATAGGCAAAGCTAATTTATCTATATTGTTTCAGACCACACTGACTACAAATTGTTTATTGATTTATTTAGATAAGTTTCCTAAAACGAATATAGTATGAAAAAAAGTCAATTATTACACACATTGCGGTACCTATATTCTGTTTTAACGATTAAAATTTTTGATGCTATGTATCGGAATTTTGTAAGAAACAAATACCAAAAAGAAAATAAATTGTTTAATGATAAATATAATCACACACAATACAAATAAATAAATTTGATAAAGTGATTGCAGTATAGAAAATGTCTGAAAATAGGAACAATCGGCCTTCATGCTAAAAATAATTAAATCTTTATAAATTAAATGATATTTGCAGTCGTAATCGTTTTCCAGATAACACAGTGGCAATATCAACTGCAAAACTCACAACATCTGTGTTAATTAACATGTTCAAAATTAGTCATTAAATTATTCGTTTTCATTAGAAATACGGTAAATAATAATTATTAATGAACTCCCAATACACTACGGTGTAAAAGGTGTCATATTTTATAGTTATAATGATAATATTATATAAGATATCGATAGACCTAGTTACGTGATAACATTCAATGTATCTCATTTTACGTTTTAATGAATCGTGGAAATAGATGAAAAATAAAACTTGTTTGCTAAATTATCCCTCTTGTTTTAATATCTATGTAAGTTTATTTCATTCGAATTTTTTTCGGGTGTCCCACCGAAATTGCTACCACCGAAATCATCTTGTACCATCAGGAATGACGGACGGTAATATCGAGAGTCACGATTTCTACGTACCTCTGGGTTCTGCGTATACATACAAAGTTGTATCGCCTTAGGAGTGAGGATGAATGTTGCTGTCAGCTATCTAGATATTTCCATAGGGAACATGTATGCACACATAGCTTCTCCAACATTCACATAAGCTCCAACTTGTTCCACAAAAGAAGGTTAGAATTTGTAAACGGGATGGGAATCCCTCCTATTATTGATATCGAAGCTTATAATTAATTTTCTGAATTCTATATTTTTATAATACTACTAATATGTTCACATAATATAACTGTACACTAAAACTAAAAACCTTAAAAAAATATAATAACAATTATATTATTAAAAGGAATCCCTTTAGGCAAGATTCCGAAGATACTGGCAGCGTTCGCCCTTTGAATGGCTAAACTAATTCTTTGTCCTAGGAAGCTGTCAGCTCTTTGATCTCCTGTGACGGCTAACCTTTTTGCCATTTCCTTAAAAAGCCTTATAGCGCTAGGACCCCACGGACCTCGACACCGAATGGGACAAAATAATATTCAGCTTTTTCAGCTGCTTCACAAGCCGGACCAGCTCTGTTGTTGGTTCCATGTAAATGAGAAGGGGCCAGCGTATCTGAACAGGTTGCATCTCATACCAGCACCCAGCCCATCTTCCATGGAATCAAACTCATACCGTCCGGTCTCTTGCCATCGTCTCTTGCAAAACCAGTCGGCTCAAGTAGACTTGGCACGTTGACGATGGTAAGTGACCGGCGTATGATATCGTTAAGTGCGGCATGTCTCGAGAAGCGGCCTGCACTTTTTTGGCATGACAGTCCGTGATGTCCTAACTTGTCGACATCACTGCTACAGGGACATTTATGAGGAGCGCAGACTGGAAGCCCAACACGTAGACAGGTTGCGATTCGGAGCGTGTCAGGCTCAAGAAATGCTCCTCGTATTTGAAGAAGGCTACACGTGAAGCCAGTAGCCAGCCTCAAGCACACCCACGGCCAAAAGCCTAGCACGCGCCGAACCTGTACTACAGCTCAAAAGATTGTCATAAGTCAATTTGCAGTTTATGTCGTCCCAGCTTCTCTGTGAATTTGGAGAAACTGGAAAGTTTTGACTTGGGCATGTAATTAAGAAAGCCTTTTTCAAAGTTTGTAAAGAAGCCCTTAAAATTTTACTCATGAGATTTGCTGAACTATGGATAGAAGATAGGAAGGCTGGTAAAGCGACACTGGAAATTTTTCGAATCCCTAAACCACCATAACGGATGGGTCAGACTTTGACATTAACATTGGAGTGTATTCCCTGCTTACAACAATCCAAAGGAGTTATATTGTCCAGTGGCTTCATCAGTGTGAGAGTGGACTCATTAATTCTCTTCGCAATAGCCTGGTTGATCGGCGGCGTTGGAAATCTCATAGTAAAATTTTTTAAAATTCCTCAACCATTATAGTCAAGGGTCGCAGCTAATGAGCGAAAATTAAAACAAAAATTTTCATTCAATTATTTCTAAAAGTGTTTAATAATTTTCAAAAACACAAACAGAATATCTGTCAGATGGCTGAATTTTTTCCTTCTTAGATAACACTTATCATTACCTATATTTTGGATAATTCACAAAATATCTTCATAAATTATAGCCTTATAAATATATGTCTTATTTTGATGTATAGTCTATATTATTGTAAAGTTTCATTAAAATCCATTCCGTAGTTTTTGCGTTAATGAGTAACAAATATCCATCCATACAAACAAACATTTATAATATTAGTAAGGGTAGTAAGGATTTTATTAACACAAGTTCTATTATACGATACATTATACGTGAAAACAGATTGACAGCTTATCTATAACTCTCTTCTATACATATTTTACGCATATGCTATACTTTTCCTTTAGCTCTATGTTTTATGACTAAAATATAATAAAATATTAGATTCAAAATAAAATAATTCATCAGCATAAAAACACACATTCTGAAAGTAATAAACAAAACCCGGTCTCGATATATGTCCATCTGGGACGATCTTAAAATCATACAAATTTTAATGTATCATCTTAAAAGCAAAGATTAGCACTAAAAATAACGAATTTAATAAAAACATTACTAAATTTATCTGTGTTTTCGCGAAAAAACTCTTGGGTCACCTTCGTTACAGTCCTGTTCTGGTACCGAGTGACTTCTTTTGTTCCCTAAAATAAAAAGCAACTGAAAGGGATACAGTTTTTATCACCGGAAGACGCACTAACAGCATTTGAGAAGGCCGCAGAATAGGTGTCTGCGACGGACTGGCAAAAGTACTTCGAAAAACTTTGTATAGAGGCCGGTGGTGAGTTCTTTTAAAAGATTTAATGAAAATATTTTATCCCTATAAGTTGTTTTTGAATTTCTCAAAACTTTCTGAGTGTCCCACGTAAGTATTAATTTGGCTACAGTCAACCCTATGAACCTTGAATTCTGAAAAAACAAAACATTCCACAAAAAAGACGGGCGTCGTTGGGCCAGCGGATAAGTGTATGAATTGTTCTCTCCCACACAATAATATACTCGAAAAATACTTTCATTTCGTAATTTCTAAAATACGCGAGTGTACTGTGAGGTAGTTGCCGAAATATGACTGCCAATGTTGCGTCGTAACGTCATAGTGAAGTGAATAACAATTAAACTAAGAACGGATGAGGTTTTATAAAATAAAACAGCGTTTTATTTGCAATATTTTTCTTTAAGAACCTTTCGTAAAATCTTCCCAGACGGATTTTTCGGTATGATGTCTATAATAGAAACTTCCTTTATCCTTTTGTATGGGGCCACTCGTTCAGCTACAAATGCCATAATGTCTTCAGCACTTATGTTTTTTGCCTCTTCTTTTAAGATAATGAACGCTTTCGGCTTTTCGCCCGTGTTTCTGTCTGGAATCGCTACCACAGCCGCATCCACTACGGCGGGGTGTTCTTTACAAACACTTTCTAGTTCAGCTGGGGGCACTTGGAAAGCATTTACCTGGATCAAACCACATAAAAGTAAGTATAGTCATTTATTATATAGGTAAGTCGTAAGGACGAAATATTTATGGAGGTGCAGGTGAGAGAGTGGAAGATGGTAAATAACCTTTAATGATCTCATTTCAACCGTAATTGATTTAGTCTTTCACAGAACAACAGTCATATGATTTAACAAAAATAATAAGCGGAAGAAAAGTCAAAGCAACAGAAATATTTCGAACCCAGCTCTCCACTCAAAACTTGTAACAAACACAAGACTTTATAAAAAGTAATGTGATAAACATAAAACTTTACCTTAATCAACTCTTTCAGCCTATCTGAAATTGTAACAGCACCGGATTCATCTATCGCAGCCATGTCTCCCGTTCTCAGCCAGCCATCGTCTAAGAAAACCTCATTGTTGGCCTCCTCGTTTTCTTTGTAACCATTCATTACATTAGGACCTTTTATGAGTAATTCACCCACCTGATGAATTTAATAAAATGTTAGATAATATTCATTTTAATATTTTTATGCTCGAGCATTATTGCAACCTGACTTGGAAGCCTGGTTTTCATAACATTGTTAAATTCAGTTCTAAGAAATCGTAATGTAAGTAAACTTGCATAAAACAAGTTTGTCCATTTACAGTGGTATAGCGTGGTGTACCACGCCTTCTATGAAAGGGACTTTCCCCTTATTGGCCATTTTTCTATGTGAAAAATTGTCGCCCATGGACATCTGTTACACCCGAGGGTTCCAGATGCGTTGACAACCTTTTGAAAATTGGGCTCCGGATACCTCACTCATCAGGTGAAACGCAAAAGTCGGTCGTCTGTGAGGTCGTGGACCGCTCAAAAACACAGCAGGCTCGTCCGGGTACTTACCCGAACGAGCCTGCCCATTCGTGCAACACCCGAGGCAGCTGCGTAGCCCTACCATAAATGATCCGTTCTGTTACCAAAAATTTGTATTGGCACGAATTTTGGTTTATTTTTTGTATTAAAATTACGATGATAATAGTACACCATCGGAAAAATTGAAAAGGGAAGGTGTTTTAACTCTGAGGTCTGAAATTTTTAGTATTAGTATTTGTTACATATTGTGTGAAGTAGTTTTAATAACAACTAAATGTAATGTAAGCAAAACTAGTATTTGTCCTTACCTCATTCGGGCCAAGATTATTTAAATGTTCATCAATTATCCTTAATTCAACATTTGGAATACCAAATCCCACTTTAGAATATTCTTTGTAACCAAGAGGACTGGCAGTTGCGAGAGGGCCTGTCTCCGTTAGGCCATAGACTTGACATAAGTGAGTATTAGCCTAAAACATGAAAAAAGGTGTGTATTTATGTATGTACACATACGCACTTAATAAATTACAGGTACTCTAGCGTAATAAAAGAAAAATAACGGAAAATTTTCTCGCCTTAGCTACTACAGAAAATTTTCCGTTATTTTTCTTTTTTTTTTTTCGTGAACAAGACATTAAATGCAGTTGATAACGGTTTAATTAAAAACGTTGGAATTGTAGGTGCATGTCAAAAAGTTGTTATTGGTAATACCGTCGCTTTGCAACCAACTTCAACATGTCGCTTTTTCGTCGATTTTTTTGACGGTGCACATCCTAAAAATTTTATTCTCATAATAAATAAATGAATATGTATGAAGAATGTACTTTCATGACCCCTAAAACCATAATTGTGAATTATTGATACTGTTTCGGCTGGTTTTGTGGTCTTGTGGCCTCATTCGGAGACTCGAGATGATTGAAAGAACTGCTGTGGCGTAACAACTCTTGGAACTAGTTTCCATTTTACTATAATTATTGTCCCGACATTTGATTCCTTGTGCTTGAAAGTTAATTGCGGTGGTCCCAATAATAAAGCAGTGCAGATTCGGTCGGCTGTGCAAGGAACGAAGGCGGCTCGACAATGACGGTTGAAGGTGAGTGTGTAGCGTGTTGATAGTGTAGTGAAAATTCAGACCAGCTCCACTATCGAAGCTCACCCCAACAGATATAACATTGCAAAATTCAATATTACTCCTAGAAAACTAAACATTCATACTTCATTCATCAC